CATCCATCCATCCATCCATCCATCCATCCATCCATCCATCCATCCATCCATCCATCCATGCATCCATCTCCACAGAACCCACTGCCTAACTGGCCACAGTATCTCTTGAACTTGTCTGAACTGGTCCATGCAGCCTGTGAAGAATATCTTTTCACAGCAGCCTCCCTGGTTTTCTGTCAACAAGCTGACTCCGTTCTAGCCTGAACAAATCTCCAGACGAGTGCAGACAAGCGGTACCTGCCGTCTCTCTGAGCAGCTCCGCCCTCAGTGACGGTCTTAACGAAGATCCCCAGTTTCTCCAGGCCCATGTCAGCTCCTGCCCCCATGCCAATGATACTGATCCCCAGACCATCACTGTCTGGGAGACACAAACATGGAGGAAACACTGACGTTACTTTGTGGTGTTCTGAGAAAGACTGACAGGAAAATAATATTTGCACATCTACAGCAGTCAAAGGTCAGTGAGCTGGGAGAATCTGTGCCTCCTCTTCAGTCTGGTGGGACGTTTCCTGTTTCATCAGTTAATAAGGCTTCATCTCCCTCTACAGCATTTCTACAAAACAATTCTGCAAAATGGCCACACAGGCTGTTGGCCTTTTGTTTAATCTTTCAATCAAATTTCTTACCTGGTAAAATAAATATTTAAATAAAGAAATCAAAGATGGCGCCAGTCACTCGTGAGTTTTCAGAAATGAAGCGAGTGTCGCGGAACCAAAAGAGGCGTGGAGCAGAACTTTGCAGGGTTGACGTGAAGCGCAACACGTTAAATGTGTGATGAGCATCTTCTTTGTATCAGTTAAAAAACAAAACAAAAAGTAAAAATCAAGTCAGTTTAGCAAATCTCTTTGCGGTTAACTAATTTTTTTCTTTTAGTAAATTCAAAGCTGCTACAAGTCGTTATCTTTCTCAGTAATACAGTAGTCCCTCGTTTATCGCGGGGGTTTACGTTCTCAGCTCCCCCACGATAAGTGAAAAACTGTGAAGTAGGAAATGTAGTACAACTAGTAATATATATATATATATGTGTATATATATATATATGTGTATATATATATATATATACTTAAAAATATATATACCGTATTTTTCGCTTTGTAAGTCGCGGTTTTTTGCATAATTTTCATGCCCTGTGACTTATATGCCGAAGCGACATATTTATGGATTTTTTCCCGTATTTATAAATCAATTTTTGGCTGAGATATGATGTTTTCATTCATTCTGATTGAAAATATTGAGCAATAGCATTTTCAGCCGCTAGATGGCACTCGAGTAGTATGGCATGCCGTTGTGTCATGTAATAGGTAAGAGTTGCTATTAATGATACAATCAACTTGCCATAGCCTGCCACCATCGACTGCCTGGAGCAACCGTCAAATCAGCTTCATTTCACTGCGCCGCTCTGGCGAAATGCAGCTGATTTGACCATTAAAGTGCATTTATTGCAGAAAAGTTCAACTGAGACACACCTTTACTATAATGTCAAGGAAACAAATAATTGTTTAAGGTGCTTATCTTGTTAAATTCTTGTTAAAGTCCTTCCGTGCACGCTCCTGTGACCGCCATTTGGCAGCCCACCGGTTTTTTGAACAACGGTCTACATTTCCGGGTTGTCAGCGGTGACACATAACAAACGTGACATGTCAGCGGTGACACAT